AAAGATGGCTGAGCGCCACCTCACAGCTCCAAAGCATCCATTTTTCTCCTGGAGAACTGATCTATCTAGTCTGGCGATGAGCTGTAATTCTGGGAGGTCTCCGGGTCCCGCCTGGAGGCTGGCATCCCTGGACCTAGCCTAAATGTATAAATTGCATGGACTCCAGAGCAACTGGGATCACTCAAAATTTTGTTCCCCTAGTCCTGAATCCTAACCCGGATAGCCCAGGCTCGCCCGATCTCATCAGATCTCGGAAGCTAAGCAGAGTTGGCCCCGGCTAGTATTCGGATGGGAGGCCTCCAAGGAATACCAGGGTTGTGACGCAGAGGCAGGCAATGGCACAAACCACTTCTGAACACCTCTTGCCTTGAAAACCCTGTGGGGTCCACATAAGTCAGCTGGGACGTGACCGCACTTCCCACCACCAGACCTGAATGGTCAAGATCCACATGTGAATTTCTACGTTCATTACCGTTTGGATGTTAATTGTGACAAGTACAGTCCGACAGGGAGTTGAAATCATTGCTATGGGGACAGGCAGCTGTAACAGACACGCTAAGGAGGCAAGTTTGCATGCAGAATTATCTAGGGTTGCCTGCTCTGGGTTGGGAAATACCTGGAGATTTTGGGGGGTGGAGGCTGGGGAGGACCTCCACAGGGTACCATGCCGCAGAGAGTCCACTCTCCACAGCAGCCGTTTTCTCCAGGGGGAACCGATTTCGGTCGTCTGGAGATGAACTGTAATAGCGTGAGATCTCCAGGTGCCCACCTCAAGGCTGGCAACCTTAGAAGCATTAGAAGCATCCCAAAGAGAAATAAAGATGGGGAACGTGGAAAGAGAAATACACCCACATCCCTGATATGCATACAGTCTGATCCTGGGCACATTTACTTGAAAGGAGGTCCCACAGTACGACTAAAGCCCTACAGCCAGGGGTCATTTCCTGCAGGAGCGCACAGGAGCGGAGCTCCGGCAGTAAAAAGCCCAGGGGGCGGGCACATGCAACAAGCCCCACCCCCTGCTTCCAGCAGCCCTCAGTCAGAGCAAGAAGCAGCCAAGTAAGTTGGAGAGCTCCCCCCGGTCCAAAACAGTCCAGTGGCACCTTTAAGACCGAGTTTTATTCAGGTACAAGCTCTCCCTCCTCTGTGAGGACAGATCTGCACGTCGTCCCCCCCCCCCCAGTAGCTAGGAATCCAAAACAGTCCAGTGGAGCCTGAGCGGTGGGTGTTGCCTTCTGACACACTTCCGGTGATGTCAGGGGGTGTGGCATATGCTACTGAGTTATGCTAATGAGCTCCTGCACCTCTTTTTCTACGAAATGACCCCTGCCTACAGCCTAATCCTATGCATGCCTATTCAGAAGTAAGCCCCATTGAGTTCAGTGGCATCTGTTCCAAAGTCAGGGGTATGTCTCAGCCCACTGGGATGAAGAAACGTGCAAGCAAAGAATTTGGCGGGCGAGTTCAAACCAATATGCAACAGTCAGCCCCACTAGACGCTGCTTCTTGCTCTTATTCCACACCATGACGCTGCAAAAATAGCAAAACCCTCATCTGGCAGAATTTCACGGTTGAGACTCTAAGCCCAGTGACCACTTCCTTGGCCCGCCCTCTTGAACTGCCCCTCTCACATACTCTGTTTCCTTCCCTCACCCCTTCGTTAACATACATCCTCTCCTTACCTTAAGCTCTCCAACGTTTCCTCTGTGTCTCTGATCCAAGTGTTTACTTCTCCTGCCGGGCTTCCATTTCCTGAATATTAAGGACATTATCGGAAGAATATAAGAACACGCCTGCTGGATCAGATCAGGGCAAACCAATCCCATCTAGTTGAGCACATTTTGCAGGTCGCACAGTGGCTAGCCAGGTGCCCCAGAAGTTCCACAACCAGAAGTACAAGAAGTCCTTGCCTGCTGCCGTGCCCCTCCCCCCCTTCCAGCTGGTGCTGTGCTCAGAGATACACGGCTTCTAAAGACTTATCTCCCAAGAACGCGTCCCCGTTTAGTTGAAATGCTTTTTCTTCAAACCGCCAGTCTTCCCCGCAGGTCCTTCTTTCTCAGCCCATTTCCTTATTCTTTTATTTTTCTCAGTCCATTTACCGGGCACGCTTAAGCGCACATAACTTTGCATTGCTTCAGACTGCATGCATGCATGATACTCCAGCCCTAGTTTTGACCGATGCTGCAGACACACGGTATGAACAACATAAGCAGCACTGAACTTAGCGGGACCTTATTTCTGAGTTAATTTGCAGAGGGTGAGAACATATGGCTGCAATCCTGTGTACTTACTTGGGTGTGTCCTACTTAGGCCCCGGCCAGACGTGCCAGAAAGTGCGGCTATTTGCGCCGTTGCATTCTGATGTGCTATTATGCGATCAGACACGACGACGGCTTCCCCGCAGCAAAGAGGACAACGGGGGGAGGAAGCCGCGCGCCGGCGCGATCACACCGGGAGGCTTCCCTAGGTGGCCCGTGGCAAAGCGTTTGCTAGTACATGCGCGGCTTCGGGGGCTTGCCACGGGTTCGCCATGGGAGTGCTACGCCTCCCAGATGTTCCCGTGTGATCGCGCCCGGATACTCCGTGGAACTCCCTTGCCTTCAGCAGGGCAAATGCTCCATGTGACCGGGGCCTTCGTTTTTATTTAACAGTGAACATGCCTAAGTGAAACCCTTCAGTCTTCTGCGCACTTACTTGGGTGTCAGTGCCACTGGAAATCAATAGGATATTTCTGAGTAAGTAGACACCAGCCACATCTGCACTGTCACTTTTGTCATTTGTTTTTTCCCTACTGCTTTGGGTCTCTCCCTCCCCACACACCTTTTCCACATGCGTTTTGCTCCCTCTGGGACTACTAGAGAGAGCAAAACACATTGGGGGGCGGGGACCCTGAAGCAGCAGGGACAACCGAGTGACAAAAATGACAGTGCAGAAGTAGCCATAGGCTCAGGTTACACCCGTAACTGTGTATTGAGGCATGGGCTCAGGTTGAGAAAGAAAGAGAGAAGGAAGGAAGGAAGGGATGAGGAAGCAAGTGGGATAAGAATTAAAGGAGAGATATAGAGAAAGAAGAAAATGAATATTTTAACCTAGGACCCAGCCCACCTTTCTAGTATGTACACACCAGTGATAATGTATACGACCCCGACATAAGTACCAGCAAACACCCTCTTCAATGTCTGCTGGAGTGACTGGGAAGCAGGACCAACAGTTGCTGCTTGCCAAATCTGTTTGGCCTTCTCTGTCACACACATTAATTCCTTGTCCTACCCAGAATTTGGACCTAATGAAGAGTACTCAGAAACGAGGACTAGAGAGCAACCGAAACTTCCCCTGTCCCACCGTGCTGGGATCTCCAGGAACCACAGAGGAGGAGGGGTCCCGCTCACCCTTTCCATAGGAGTCCATGCCTACAAAGGGCTGGTAGAAGAGGGTTGGCGTGGCAATGGCTGCAATTGTGATGCTGGTGGGTTGCCACGACAGTATCAGGAACTATTATAACTCTTTAACAGCCCAATCCTACATTTGTCAGTAAGTACATCCAGCTGAGCCCAACAGGACTTGCTTCCTAGTAAGTGCGCCTAGGAACACCTTGCTTATAAAAATATGACATAAACCAAAAGGGGCTCTGATGAGTTATGCAGTATCGTGGTGACTTTGGGTGGCAACAGATGGAAGCAGAAGTTGGGGGAAAAGGCTGTGTGCTTTGCCCTGCCACAATGGTGGCAGCGGTACTGATGTTATGTTAGGCGTCAGTGACGGGGTGTGTGTGCTGTGATGTGCTTATCACACAAAAATAATTTTTTAAAGCAGGTATAGTCTGCAGTGGTGCTGATGAGAATAGGTTGCCATGCCAACAGCATCAGTTGAACAGCTGTGTGGTTGCTATGAAACTTGGTTTTTCCCCCTCACACACAACCCTTAGGCTGAGTTGACACCAATGTTCCCTCTAAGCCCTGGAGGGTGGCAGCGGTACTGATGTTATGTTAGGTGTCAGTGGCTTTTTACAGTGACGGGGTGTGTGTGCTGTGATGTGCTTATCACAAAAAAATAATAATTTTGTAAAGCAGATATAGGCTGCAGTGGTGCTGATGAGAATAGGTTGCCATGCCAACAGCATCAGTTGAACAGCTGTGTGGTTGCTATGAAACTTGGTTTTTCCCCCCTCACACACACCCCTTAGGCTGAATTGACACAAGTTCAAAATTTTTGACACACAGTTTTGCAATTGATTTCTATGGTGATGGACTCTGGACCGACAGTTAGGGCAGAAACCGAAGAAAGGCCTAAGCTTTGTAAACTGGGCGGGTTTATTTTTATTTTGTTTGTTTTCATTCATACTCCGCCTGCAGCAACTACTGTTTAGATTACACTTGATTGGTTATTCTGGCCCCAGGCAGGAAATGACCTTTGACCCTTCAACAACCCTGCCTCTCATAAAGGGACACGCATAGAATAGCTCAGCCCGGCATCAGGCCCCGCCTCAAGCTTGGTCCGGAGCATCCGCTTTCTAAATTGGTCACAGAACCCGTAGATTAAGATTCGTTCCGCCCACCTCTAGGCAACGACCAATCAGAATCGGCTCTCTTGTGGGCGTGTGCTACCTTTAGCGTTTTTCAGTCAGAGTCCGGACGTTAATGCTTGCTATCACCCATCCTCGACGCTTAGGACGTCTGACTTTCTGAAAGGCTGGCGTTTCAGTCAATCACGGGCACGCCTCTCTTTTCTCCTCCCCCAGTCACATGAGATTTTATTTTTGATCGATGAACGAAGGTAGGGGAATAAAACTCTTCAGCCAATAATATTGACGCACATTTTGACAGCCAGCTAATACAACCAATGAAAAAAGTTTGAAGAGCCCACACAGCGCTGTAGGCGGAACTAAGCCCAATGTGCGCAATCAGCATCCCGGAGACTACAGTTGATTGCCTCTCGCTCCAACGAAATGTCAGTAGGGCGTGAAAGACGACCAGCTAGACCAATCGCTGTACGGCAGGCGTTTCCAGCAGCCCACCCGTGGCTTAAGTGAGGGCGGAAGATGGCGGCGGCCGGGACGGGTCCGGGGGATCCCGACGGGGGGTCTGAGGGGTCAAACCGCGACCGGAGCGCCTTTGAGTGCAACATCTGTTTGGAGCCTGCAAGAGAAGCAGTCATTGGTCTCTGCGGGCACCTCTATTGGTAAGGTGGGGGCGAGGATGAACAGAGGGTGGTGGGGTAGAGGGGTCTGAAGGGGTGTGGTCGAACAAGTGGGGCATGTTGACAAAAGTGGAGGCCGAGGACGGTGGTCTGGGCAGAGAGTTGTCCCAGGTGTTTTTTTTAAAGCCCCCTGTTTGCAGCATTCAGTTGAGCAGCAGTCAAGCAGGTGACGTCTTTCCCCTTCATTGTATCCTCCTGCCTGGCAGACAACTGCACCTGTTGAACTTCTGCCTATCCCGGTTGCTGTTCAAGGCACAGAGCCAGGCCTGGTTTTTAAAACTGGTAGGTAAGAAAGAGATAGGTGACGATATGGGTCAGGACAGGCTCCAAAGGAGGGGTGGATTGTGTTGGCATGGAAGCGTGCTTTCTAAAGGGAGGGGGCTGTGGAGGGTCTTGTTTTCTGGCGGCGGCGGCAAAGTCCACAGTGGCAAAGTTCTGGGCTGCCTCCCCCTTGCTTGGTGGGTTCAGTTCAAGATGATGGTCACGGCCACTGAGACGATTGTGGCTCCGTGGACAGTATCTGCTTTGCACGGAGAAAGTCTCCAGTTCAGTCCCTGGCATCTTCCAGTTTTAAAAAGGGCCAGGTAGGAGGTGATGTGGGAAGACCTCTGCCTGAGGCTCTGGAGAGCTCCTGCCAGTCAGGGTAGACGTCACTGAACTTGATAATCCCATGATGCGATTTTCCCTATAAGGCAGCTTGTTGCGGTCATGGAGCCTAATGAGACTTCGCCTAAGAGACCTGCTCCTCTGCTTTCTGTTGTACCGGCCAAGGTATTCCGGGCTGGTTGATGTGGCTGTCCTGTCCTCGGTTTTATCTTCTTAACAACCCAGCTGAACTGAGAAAGAGCGCCTGGCGCAAGGTCGGCCAATGAGCTTCTTGGTTGAGCGCAGCAGCGAGATTCAAGTCCAGTAGATTTTGGGATATGAGTTTTCGATAGTCAAACATCCCTTTGTCAGATACGAAATGGTTGAGTGGGTGTGCTGGGACCAGTGTCTCCTTGTCTTCATCTGATGTTCTCACCACCACAACACACTGTACACCCCCTCTGTATCGGTGTTGGTACCGGTGTGGCTCTGTGCTTAGAGCCTCTGCTTGCATGCCGAAGGTCCCAGATTCAATCCCAGACATCTCACATTAAAAGGACTAGGTGATGTGAAAGACCTTGGTCTGAGACCCTGGAGAGCTGCTTGCCATACTGTGGCCCCGATCACACAGGCCGGATATCGCCGGGGGGAGGCGTGGCTAATGCCCTGGTGCAGTTTGATGCACGATTACACGATCAGACGCGCCGGCGGCACACCACGGGTCCTTCCCTTGGCGCCGGCAGGGAAACGAGGGACCGAAGGGGAATGCCATGCACCGGGCGTGATCACACCACGGGCGTCTGGAGGCAGCCCGTGGCAAATGTTTACTAGTACCTTGGAGGTACTAGTTTTTTAAGGCGCATTGTCGGTGGTAAGCCACGGGTGCGCTCCACTTCCCAGATGTTGAGGTGTGATCGCGCCCGGATAATCTGCCCACCATCCATGCCTCTCCCGCGACAACTTTGCCGTGTGACCGGGGCCCGCGTACATAATACTGGCATTGATGGACCAAGGGTCTGATTCAGCTCCATGTGTGTGAGCAGCCAAAACACTCCCCCTAATGTGCCATTAGTGGTTTTTAATGGCTATGAATAGGGCAGAGTAGTAACCATGAAAACTTTGGGAAGCAGGGGGTGGTTCAGTTAATTATAATACAATCAAGGGGTGGAGCTTGGGGAGGGTTCTGTGGCTGACATAATTTTTTTGGCTCCTTGGAAAGCTCTGGGGTGGCGTATCAAATCAGTCAAGGAGGGGCCGAGTTAAGGCAAATTGAACTGAAGAGAGTTGAGGGCAGGTCATACCTGTTCCTTGTCCCTAGACGCCAAAGGCCAGCTAACATGGCCTTGTGCCCCAGCCAGACGATGCAGGAGCTCAGCCTTTGGAGAGTCTCCAAAGAAACAGGTTGAAGGGGAATAGATCTAAAGTGGGAATAAGAAGTGGATGGAATACACTGAGCAAGAAACTGGGGGTGGGGATGGGGACCAGTCCCAGGCACAAAAAAAGATATGTTTTTAAATTAATTAATTAAATTAAAGTTTTAAAGTAAAAGTAAAAGCCAGTGCAGTTGGAGCGTTGAACTTCTGCCTATCCCGGTTGGTGTTCAAGGCACAGAGCCAGGCCTGGTTTTTAAAACTGGTAGGTAAGAAAGAGATAGGTGACGATATGGGTCAGGACAGGCTCCAAAGGAGGGGTGGATTGTGTTGGCATGGAAGCGTGCTTTCTAAAGGGAGGGGGCTGTGGAGGGTCTTGTTTTCTGGCGGCGGCGGCAAAGAGCCTTTCTTCTACAGTTGCAAAGGTCTGGGCTGCCTCCCCCTTGCTTGGTGGGTTCAGTTCAAGATGATGGTCACGGCCACTGATCCGGAAGACCCGAGCTCATATCCCCTCTCTGCCGTGAAGCTCACTGATTAACCTTCAGCGACTGGTCAAACTGGTCAAAAGGGGCATTGCAGAGCTGGAGGAAGTGCAGAGGAGGGCAACGAAGATGATGAAGGGGTTGGAGCAAAGGCTGAAGAATCTGGGACTTTTCGGGGTTTTTTTAAAAAGGCCACCAAGGGGCAGGGGACATGGTAGAGGTTTATGAAATTATGCGTGGGGTAGAGAGAGTTGACAAAAGGAACTTTTTCTCCCTCTCCCCAAATACTAGGACTCGAGGGCCTCCAGTGAAGCTGTTGGGCAGGAAGGTTCAGGATGGACCAAAGGAAATATTTCTTTATACAGTGAGTGATTCAAATGTGGAGTTGGCTGCCAGAGGATGGAGTGATGGTCACAGGAATAAACAGTTGTAAAAGGGGATTTGAGAGGTTCATGGAGGGTAAGTCTGTCAGTGGCCTCTGGAGAAGAAGAAGAAGAAGAGATTGGATTTATACCCCGCCCTTCACTCGGAGTCTCAGAGCGGCTTACAAACTCCTTTCCCTTCCCCTCCCCACAACAGACACCCTGGGAGGTGGGTGGGGCTGAGGGAACTCTGACAGAAACTGCTCTTTTCCAAGGACAGCTGTGCCAGAGCTTGTGACTGACCCAAGGTCACATCAGCAGGTGCAAGTGGAGGAGTGGGGAATCAAACCCGGTTCTCCCAGATTAGAGTCCGCCCATGCACCGGGCGTGATCACACCACGGGCGTCTGGAGGCAGCCCGTGGCAAATGTTTACTAGTACCTTGGAGGTACTAGTTTTTTAAGGCGCATTGTCGGTGGTAAGCCACGGGTGCGCTCCACTTCCCAGATGTTGAGGTGTGATCGCGCCCGGATAATCTGCCCACCATCCATGCCTCTCCCGCTACAACTTTGCCGTGTGACCGGGGCCCGCGTACATAATACTGGCATTGATGGACCAAGGGTCTGATTCAGCTCCATGTGTGTGAGCAGCCAAAACACTCCCCCTAATGTGCCATTAGTGGTTTTTAATGGCTATGAATAGGGCAGAGTAGTAACCATGAAAACTTTGGGAAGCAGGGGGTGGTTCAGTTAATTATAATACAATCAAGGGGTGGAGCTTGGGGAGGGTTCTGTGGCTGACATAATTTTTTTGGCTCCTTGGAAAGCTCTGGGGTGGCGTATCAAATCAGTCAAGGAGGGGCCGAGTTAAGGCAAATTGAACTGAAGAGAGTTGAGGGCAGGTCATACCTGTTCCTTGTCCCTAGACGCCAAAGGCCAGCTAACATGGCCTTGTGCCCCAGCCAGACGATGCAGGAGCTCAGCCTTTGGAGAGTCTCCAAAGAAACAGGTTGAAGGGGAATAGATCTAAAGTGGGAATAAGAAGTGGATGGAATACACTGAGCAAGAAACTGGGGGTGGGGATGGGGACCAGTCCCAGGCACAAAAAAAGATATGTTTTTAAATTAATTAATTAAATTAAAGTTTTAAAGTAAAAGTAAAAGCCAGTGCAGTTGGAGCGTTGAACTTCTGCCTATCCCGGTTGGTGTTCAAGGCACAGAGCCAGGCCTGGTTTTTAAAACTGGTAGGTAAGAAAGAGATAGGTGACGATATGGGTCAGGACAGGCTCCAAAGGAGGGGTGGATTGTGTTGGCATGGAAGCGTGCTTTCTAAAGGGAGGGGGCTGTGGAGGGTCTTGTTTTCTGGCGGCGGCGGCAAAGAGCCTTTCTTCTACAGTTGCAAAGGTCTGGGCTGCCTCCCCCTTGCTTGGTGGGTTCAGTTCAAGATGATGGTCACGGCCACTGATCCGGAAGACCCGAGCTCATATCCCCTCTCTGCCGTGAAGCTCACTGATTAACCTTCAGCGACTGGTCAAACTGGTCAAAAGGGGCATTGCAGAGCTGGAGGAAGTGCAGAGGAGGGCAACGAAGATGATGAAGGGGTTGGAGCAAAGGCTGAAGAATCTGGGACTTTTCGGGGTTTTTTTAAAAAGGCCACCAAGGGGCAGGGGACATGGTAGAGGTTTATGAAATTATGCGTGGGGTAGAGAGAGTTGACAAAAGGAACTTTTTCTCCCTCTCCCCAAATACTAGGACTCGAGGGCCTCCAGTGAAGCTGTTGGGCAGGAAGGTTCAGGATGGACCAAAGGAAATATTTCTTTATACAGTGAGTGATTCAAATGTGGAGTTGGCTGCCAGAGGATGGAGTGATGGTCACAGGAATAAACAGTTGTAAAAGGGGATTTGAGAGGTTCATGGAGGGTAAGTCTGTCAGTGGCCTCTGGAGAAGAAGAAGAAGAAGAGATTGGATTTATACCCCGCCCTTCACTCGGAGTCTCAGAGCGGCTTACAAACTCCTTTCCCTTCCCCTCCCCACAACAGACACCCTGGGAGGTGGGTGGGGCTGAGGGAACTCTGACAGAAACTGCTCTTTTCCAAGGACAGCTGTGCCAGAGCTTGTGACTGACCCAAGGTCACATCAGCAGGTGCAAGTGGAGGAGTGGGGAATCAAACCCGGTTCTCCCAGATTAGAGTCCGCGCACTTAACCACTACACCAAACAACAACAGAGCGTAAAGGCCAAGGCCTTCCTCTTATGTTGCTTCCTGTCTGGGATTCAGAGGTTTAGTGCCTCTGAATGTGGAGGCTCCCCTCAGTTACCGTGCCTAGTAGCCACTGATAGAGTTACCCTCCACGAATCTATCTAATCCCCTTTTGAAGCTGTGTATTCCTGTGGCTGTTATTACATCCGCTGGCAATGAATCCCACAGTTTAATCATTTTCTGTGTCAAGCAGTATTTCCTTTTGTCCATCCTGAACCTACGGCCCATCAGCTGTATTGGATGCCCCCGAGATCTAGTATTTTGGGAGAGGGAGAAACATTTTTGTTTTGTCAGCGCTCTCCACCCCATGCATAAATATAAGAACGTAAGATGGCATGGCCATCCGGTGGCAAGCGGGCTGGCAGATGAAGCCCACAGAGAGTTGGGGGGGGGCATGGCTGCCATGGGGGTGAGACTGAGGGTAAGGCATGGGTGGCAGATACCTGCCAAAGCTGGATGGTTTTACAGACCCCTCTCAGTGAATCCATCCCCCTCCCCAAAGAGGTCCCTGGCTCACAGTTTGGGAACCACTTGGCCTGTGGCCACGTAGGAGAAAAAACTTTTCCCTTTGGAAGGGCTTCCTCACATTGTGTCCATGGTCAGCTGTGAGTCTGAGTAATAAGCCTTTTCTCTTTTCTTTTCTTTTCAGCTGGCCTTGCCTTCACCAGGTGAGTCATTTTGCATCTTCTTTTTCTTCTTCTGGGTATGTGTCTAGAGGGCAACGGAAGACGTTTTAAGTCTTTTATCTGTGGCCAAAGGACTCATTGCTTTATTTGTCCAAACATGTATAAGCTCCCCGACCCTTTCTCCCAGTACACCAGGACCCAAGGGAAGTAACAACTTTAGAACATCTAAAAGCCAATCCCAAACCATTGGCATGGTCGAAAACTCACTTTGGCCTTAAAGACTGGGGATGGATAAGCCCTTGAGACCAGCAAGTGCCCATTTAAAAGGGTCTTACAGACTCACCCGTTCACTAGGAGAGGGGGTGCTTTCCATTGTGTAGCAGGTGCTATGGGAAGAGCCCCCCCAAATAGGCCCTGCCGTTACATATGTTTGCTCTTGAGGGCACTGAAAGGGGCAGTATCATCGGTGACTCTGCTGAGCAAGGTGCTCTTCTGCTGCCCGGCTGCTAACTTCGGAGGGGAAGCCAAGCTTTCTGCTTCGTTAGCAAGAGTTGGCCTTGATAGACTTCTCAATTGCTATGAAGTATGTTAGCTTAGAGATCTCCATGTTATTTATTTATTTGATTTATTTCCCACCTTTCTTCACAATGGGAGCCAAAAGCAGTTTGTTGGTCTCCTTTTGTCCACTTTTATTCTCACAACAACCCTGTGAGGTAGGTTAGGGTGAGAAGGTGTGACTGGCTCAAGGTCACCCAGCGAGCCTCCCTGGCAGAGGGGGGATTTGAACTTGGGTCTCCCAGATCCTAGTCAGACACTCTAGCCCAGGGGTGTCGAACTCATTTGTTGTGAGGGCCAGATATGACATAAATGAGACCTTGGTGGGCTGGGCCATGTGTGTCATAAAATGTAATGCCAGTTAGCAGAGATATAAACTTTATAAAGAAAACAAACACAAAGGGGTTTTTTAACTTAAAGTAAAAACATGCTTAAAACATTAGCTCTGTAAGCTGCAAGCCTACTTTTGATTTATTGACATTCACCACAGAAATCTCATGCTCAGAGTTCTGAGTCTAGGACCCAGGTTAAAACATGAAATGGTTGAGTGATTAAGAGTCTAGTGAAGCAAGCTATGATGCAGCAGCAGTAGCAGAACTGGAAGGAGGAGATGGCCAGTTCCACTGCAGGCCTGATGGAAGCCCTCTGGGGGGCCTCATCCGGCCCCTGGGCCATATGTTTGACACCCCTGCTCTAGCCCTTACACCACGCTGGTTCTCTGCTCAGAGGCAGTCTCCTGGAAGTGAATGACTGGGTCAAGCAATCTCTATTCTCCCCGGATTGTGGGCCTTCCAGAAGCACCTGGAAAAACCACCTTTGGGATAGAATGCTGGGTGAGATGGACTTTTGGTCTCACCTGATTGAAATATTTCTTACTACAACCTCTGTCCCCAGATTGAATGTTATGTGTGTGTGTGTTCATGGCTGGGCTTTAATTCTTTGTTTTATATGTGCATGTGTGCACCTGGAAGTCATGGCGACCTCTGGTGACTGACCCCTACTGGGCAGCCTGGAGAGGTGGTTGAATAAAGCCTACCCCTGCCTCCTGACTGCTGGTATTCCAAGGAGGTCTCCCATCCAAGTACTTGCCAGAGTCAACCCTGTTTAGCTTCCAAGATCTGACGAGATTGGGCTTTCCTGGCCTATCCAGGTCAGGGCACTGGGCTCCAATTCTGAAAAGATACAGAGCTGAATTCCAAAATCCTTCTATAAAGCTTCCTCTCCCATCAGTAATCAGGAGAGAGCATTCTGCCCGTGCTCAGTGGCATCTCTTAATTATTAGTACTTCGTATACTCTAAGATACACAGTTGTGCCGTTGAAAACCAGCTCAAGGTTGAAATGAAGCTCTTGTTTATTTAGTACCTAGGTATCTTCTGTGCCGCCTTTCTTCTTCCTGAGGGGAACTCTGGCAAGGTCCTTAAATTTTCCCTGTGGTACTCTTCTGTTTTTGTCTGCACCTGTGTTTCATGGTTGCTAAGGTAGTGTGAAGGTGTCTGCGGCACTTAAATGCCTTCTGCCGCCTGTACGTTCAGGCGTGAAGAATATGTCACGATTTTAACTGAGACGGATACTTCTGATTATGGATTAGGGGCTGGGCTGCTGTAGAGTGGAAGGTGCGGCAGCTGCTTGAACTGTACTTTTGGGAGTTTGGCGAGGGGGGTAAGAGCCTCCTCCTCATTCACCATCATGCTTTTCCCACCTAGTGGCTAGAAACACGGCCCGAGCGGCAGGAATGTCCCGTGTGCAAGGCAGGCATTAGCCGCGACAAAGTCATCCCCCTCTATGGCCGTGGAAGCTCGGCCCAGCAGGATCCCAGGTAATTCTTTCCCCACTGGGTTTTTTCTTCTTTCAGTTTTGATAGACCTCAATAGAATGACAGTTCTGGACAAGAGTGGCTGTTTCTTCGTCCTGGTAGAGTAATTGCTCTTTGCCCAGCAAATTCTCTGGCTTTCAGCCAGCACCCCAGTGGCTGCTTTATGTCTCTTTTTCCTTTTACATCTTTACGAAGAGAGTGGTTAAAAATGTGGAATTTGCTGCCAGAGGATGTAGTGATGGCCACAGGAATAAACAGCTTTAAAAGTGGATTAGCAAGATGAATATATCATTGGCTACTCGCCACGGTGGCTGAGGTGAACCTCCACATTCAGAGGCACTAAACCTCTGCATCCCAGAGCCAGGAGGCAACATCAGGGAAAGACCTTGGCCTCTATGATCTGTTAGGGGCCGTCAATAGGAACTGGTTGGCCCCTGGGCTAGATGGACCACTGGTCTAAGGTTCTTATGAGAAAGGGCGGGTGGTGGACACGCGCACACAATTAGAGAGCATAAATTGATTGAAGGGTTACAAAACACTCCCGACTGTCATCTTAAATTAACATATATCTGCACTATGAGTTGCCAGTGTACGTTAGGAGGGACAGACAGGCAGGGCTATTTTGGGGCAGGAACGGAGTTCCGGCTGGCTCCCAAGTTGGCCACGCCCACCAGGAACTCATTAGCATAATAGGCCACACCCAACAGCAGAAACTCATTAGGATTGGCTACATTAGGGGTGTGTGGCCTAACATGCAAAGGAGTTCCTGCTACAAAAAAAGCCCTGGGTTTTGACAACAAACAAGGTAAACAGAATAACAAGCAAAAGGTGGGTGTGGCTGGATGACCACACTTCTGATAACATGGGGGTGCGGCCTAATGTGCTAATGAGCTGTGCTGTCAGGGGTGTGGCCCAATATGCTAATGAGCATATTAGTTTCTGCTGTTGGGTGTGGCCTTTTATGCTAATGAGTTCCTGCTGGGCTTTTTCTACAAAAAGAGCCCTGCAGACAGGGTTGTTGTAGGGATAAAAATGAGGAAATTACAGCAGTGTGTGCTGCTCCGAGGAGGAAGGGCGGGAGAAACATGTACTTGATGGCGAGGCAAAGCACCATAGATGTGGGAGGAGGACTGGCAGAGCACTTCGTGGGATTGGACTGGCCGACCTTACCCGACAGAGCTCCACAGTCTTTTCCACAGCTAGTATTTCATCCATGTGTAACAAACCGGGTTTGCTGCCCGAAATGCAGAATCTGGGTGATCGGTTTGGGGGCCCTGCCCTGCCAAACCTTTTCTGTTGTTTGGTGGGGAAAACTGCAAGGGGGTGAGAAACTGTGGCGGCAAGAGAGGGCTGACCAGCCTGCCTTCATCATCTTCATTTCCACACAGGTTGAAGACTCCCCCCCGGCCACGGGGTCAGCGCCCAGAACCTGAGTCCCGAGGGGTGAGTGTATTATGTTGCCCCGAAAGGTGGGGGTCAGGCAGCAATTTTTCCTCAGGCCAGTTTGGAGGGGGGGGTTGCCCTCTTCTGGGCATGGAACAGGGGTCACTGGGGGTGTGGGGGGGTATTTGTGAATTTCCTGCATTGTGCAGGGGGTTGGAGTAGATGACCCTGGAGATCCATTCCAGTTCTATGACCTATGATGTCGTCAGCCCCATCCTCCATCTGTCTGGCTGCCTCTCCATTTTTGTCGGGCCATCCCTCAAAGAGCATACATTGCTCTCGCCACAGTTTTATCCCCACAACAGCCCCGTTATTTCGGTTCGACCAGGGGTCCCCAGCGTTTTTGAGCCTTCAGGCACCTTTGGAGTCCTGACACCCAGGGTCGGCCACATCCACAAAACAGCTGCTGGAGGCAGAGCCCACCACAAAGTGGCTGCCGGAGCAAAGATCCTTGTATGGTAGTGGCATCTGCTACTAAAGCAAAGCACAGCCAATCAAATCTCCAGTGGCCAATCAGAACCCTTTAAGGGCAAAAGCCTCCCCCGGTCCCACCCACTTTCTAAAAACGCTTGATGCCCACCAGGAAAGGTTTCAGTGGATGCCACGGTGCCTGCGGGCACGGGGGGGCGGGCGCCAGTTAGACTGAGGGCATGTGATCACCCCAAAACCTTTCATGGTGTTTCACAGCTGAGTGGGGGACATAAACGCGGGACTCCCCGAGTCTTAGTCCAACACTGACTGCCACACCGCACCAGCATCCTCCACCTCAGCTTCACCTTTAGCAGCAGGCCGCTCAGTCTTCCTTCTCCACCTCCTTCCCTCCCCTTCCCCCGCCAGCAGGGCGTGGGCGGCTTCCCTGACGCAGCCACCGGCTTCCATATGGCGTTTGGCATCGGCGCATTTCCCTTTGGGTTTTTCGCTACCGGCTACAGCGGCCAAGGAGAAAGAGCAGGTGAGGCTCTGCTTTTAAAGTGGGGTTGGGAAAAAAGCGTCACCCGCCTGGGAGGGTGAGGAGGCAGGCAGTGAGCTTGCTTGTACCCTTGGCGCGTGCTTCCTCTCAACTGTGTACGGGTTCACCTCTAGGTGTTGTCCTGGTTGGCTCTGTCTTGGAGAGGATCTGACTTGGCTTTGCCCGTCGCATCGTGATGTGATATCTGTACAAATTCCCCGTTGGGCCGTGTTTGAAGAAGGCATACAGTTTTTATGAATGGAAAACCATACTGAGGCATTATTGTGGGGCGGAAGGGGGGGGGGATCTAGGCTTGGTATGAATTATGCTATGAGCCCTTCAAGTGTCCATCTTTATGAGGGGGGGAAGGGGGGAGTTGATATCGAAAGGATCAGTGTGCGTCCCCTCATAAATCAACAGATTCAGCAGTTGCAGGTACTTGGGACGTGAGGGAGGTCAGAGAGTCCAACGAAGAAGCAGGTGGTGTGAGTGAAAACTAACTGACACTGGTTCAAGGTTATAGTCTGCTGAAACAAGGGAGGGGCTGTGGCTCAGTGGAAGAGCTTCTCTGACTTGGATGGACCAAGGTCTGGTTCAGTACAGGGCACCTTCATGTGTGTGTTCATTCTATTAGAGTTTCCAAAAAAGGGGGTACTGTAGAGCTATTAGCAGTTGTGGCTGACTGAGAAACCTAAGTCTCTGTTTAAGCCAGGGTGACATGTGGTCTTTAATTCTTTGGTGGGCTCTCATTCAGCTTTTTCATGGCTACCTCTTTGCAGTCATCAAGGAACAACCTAGGATGGCGCTGTATAGATGAGGTGCAGCTTGATACTTATGGCTGGAATCACTGGAGGCAGGGGGCAGGCTTTCTCCCTACCTCAGTGAAGTGCCCCTTTTCTTTCTCCTATACAATATTTAACATTCAGATCTGGGGCGGGGCAAAACCTGTCCTCTGCCTCACACAGCCCTCTCCGCCAGGAGTCCTTTGCATTATACAGGCCCTTCCTCTATACATTCCCTGCCCACTGCAGTCGTGGGAGCCAGTTTGGTGTAGTGGTAGAGTGGCAGACTCTAATCTGGAGAACCGGGTCTGATTCCCCACGCCTCCATATGCAGCCAGCTGATGTGACCTTGGGTCAGTTACAAGCTCTCTCAGCTGTTCTCGCAAGACCAGTTCTCTGAGAGCTCTCTCAGCCCCAGCTACCTCACGGTATGTTACAGGGAGAGGAAGGGAAGGAGATTGTAAGCCGCTCTGAGACTCCCAAGTGAAGGGTGGGGTATAAATTTTCTCCCTCTTCTTCCTCCTCCTTTGCAGACTTTGGTCTCCTGAAGGTCATTTTTATTTATTGGTGATTGGATGAGTTAGGCTGTCTGTGAGCCTGGTTAAGAGTAAATAATAATAATAATAATAATCTTTCGATTTATTGATCACCCAATCCTTGCAGAGCTGCCAGCTCTGAGCGATTTACAGTTACTCATGTGTTGACACGGGACTAACAATGATGGGGGTAAGGGAGGACAACATATATCATTTTTAATCACACACACTTCGCAGTCGATCGGGAGTTTGGTCAGCTGTAAGCATCAGACGTGTTCCGGCAGCATTCTTTAGTCGGCGTCACGTGATGTCGTCAGCATTTTTCTCAGTCGCAGCGCACCACTGCCACCGTCTGGCTGGAATGTCCCATTGCAGGCTTTTCTTTGATGCTGCGTAGATCTCTCTCTGCTTTTGATCTTACGCGCCCTGCGTTTATTCATTGAGGGGACCACTCAGTGACAGTGTGATAGAGCATCTGCTTCGCATATAAAACGGTCCCTGGTTCAATCCCCTGCATCTCCAGTTGAAAGGACCCGGTAGCAGGTGATATGAAAGTTCTCAGCCAGAGACCACAGAGAGCTCCTTCCAGTCAAAGTAGATGGTTCTAACCATGACAGACCAAAGGCCTAGGTGTGCAAACTCTGGGCTGGGAAATTCCTGGAGATTGGGGGGGGGTAAAGCCTGGGGAGGCTGGGGTTTGGGGAAGGGAGGAACTTCAGTAGGGTATAATGCCGTAGACGCCACCGCCTAAGGCAGCTGTTTTCTCCAGGGGACCGGATCTGCCTTATCTGGAGATCAATTGTAATTCCAGGAGGTCTTCAGGCTCCACCTGGAGGTTGGCAACCTTATGAAGGGCCTTGCTCAGGAGACGTCCGTTCCAGGGTGCTGGGTGTGGGTGCCAGATATGGGCGAGGAGATGTGGAAATCTGCACTTTCCCTTTTCCACTTTTCCCAGACCAGATATGGTCTTAAAGGCCATCACAAAACAGACATGGTCTTCTTTGGTGACAGCTACCTGGTGTTTCAGGAGCTACGGTGGCTCGTGGTTAAGACGCTGAACTGCAGGCTGTGGAAGGTCAGTAGTTCAGCAGTTCGAGACCCGAGTGTGCCACATGACGGAGTGAGCTCCCATCTCTAGTTCCAGCTCCTGCCAACCTAGCAGTTCGAAAGCAAGGAATTGCAAGTAGATAAATAGGTACCACTTCGGTGGGAAGGTAATAGCGTTCCGTGCGCCTGGGTGTTTAGCCATGCCGGCCACATGACCACTGTCTTCGGACAGCGCTGGCTCTTCAGCTTTGAAACGGAGATGAGCACCGCAACCCTAGAGTCGGACTCGACTGGCTTTCAAGCAAGGGAACCTTTACCTTTTACCTGGTGTTTCACTTCTAACTTCTCCCTCCTTGTCCGCCCCTCTTTTCTGCGCAGAAGCGGATGCCATCAGACCATCGGGCTGGCAGGATTCTCTGTTCCTCTTCATCGCCATCTTCTTCTTCTTCTGGCTGCTGAGCATCTGACCGGACCCTACTGGACTTGCCCTACGCTAAAGACTTCAGAACTGGATGGGAGGGCTTCGATATTGGGAGGGGAAGGAGATGTTGTCGGCGGGGGGGGGGAGGGGTGGAGTTTGTTTCCAGGCGGTGCACGGGCTGGGCAGGAAGGGTCGTGAGGATGTAATTTAGACATGACGGTTCTCTGTCAAATTCCGCCTGCCCAACACACACATGCATATGCGCGCACATATCTTATGCAGAATTAAAGTATGTAATAGGACTACTTTGGAGATTTTGCAGTAGGGTGGGAAAGGGTGGATGTCCCATGGCTTAATTGGGATGGGGGGAAACTATTGTAATGATCAAACAGTAGGATTGTTTTTCCTTCCCCTTCTGATTCCTCTGTGGGGAGGGGAGCTCGATCAAATAGATTTGGGAGCAGGTGAGGGTTACCCGTCATCTGTCTCTCGGGAGGGGCTGTCTTTCAGCACGCCAGAATACCGCGTTGGCTCATCTACCGCTTCCCCCCCCCCCCCCCGCGGGGTGGGGCGTGTGCCATCTTGGTTTGTTGGCACTGTAGGTGATTCAGGACAGGAGGAGTGGCGAGAGCTGGCGTGCAGTCTTCCTTAATCTTGGCACTTCTTGGGTTGAGGTCTCCCCCACCCCTCACCATCGTTTGTGGCTTATATGCCGTCCATTGCTAGACAAGGCCCTGTGCAGAAATCCAGAGTGCCCTTTGCCCCGTCTGTGAGCTGACGCTATAACACACGAGGGGCAGGGCTTAGAAAAGACGAGAAGGGTGGGGAGGGAGCATCCCTTTTCTCTTCATAAAAAGCACAAGTCCAGAAATCCATGCAAGTGGGGGGGGGGAGCAATGCAAAGACTGGAGATGTCCGCCGGCGGCGGGGAGTTGTTCTTGGAAGCACCCCTCTCCAATGCTAGCGCATCCCGATCCTGCCGTTCCACTTGCCGACCACCGGACTAGGAATGGATTTTGCAGGCATGACATACACACCCCAGCCACGGGGCCACTCGTGGCTGGTTCTGTGGGACATAAGAATGTCTCATGCTTTTGCAAAGATGCCAGCTAGTCAAGCTAGAGCAGTGATTGCAGGGCAATTAGCTTTATTCTGCAAGGGGCGGGGGAAAAACATTTCCAGGAGGGAACTTCCCTGTTTTCAGTTGTGGCAGGTTGGAGGGAGATCCTCGTCTTGAATAACAGTATTTCATGGTCCAGGAATCTGGGAAAACGGAACTACTTCTTCTTCTTCTTCTTTTTGAGTGAATGAACAGAGACTTGGTGTAAATTTAACCAATGCTGTAATTAAATTAACCCACAATTCTTATTCCTGGTGCGGGAATGGTTGCTTTTTAAAAAAAACTATTGTTACTATTATTAGAGATATGCGCTGGATATCTCTGTTAGAGAACTTTGCACCGGATGGCAAGTGACGTATTTTGCATTGGCCGACTGCCATTTTGAAAGAGAGGGCATACAAAACCAGCCTTTTAATTCCTTGCCACCACCCTCCTTCTCCCCCAATACCTTCTGATACTTCCTGAGTTTATTGTTATTACAGTCTTAAGACCAACATACAGAGTAAGCATAACATGTGAGGGAGAGAGAAAAACCCCAGTCATAATATATAAAAATAGGAATCTGAATTTAAGAACTTTTAAAATGCAATACCTGCAATCTTAAGAATTAATGCACAAAAATCAGCGACTGAATAATCTCTACATTCTTATCTGATAGGAGCCAGCGAAGCCTCGCCTTCTGATACTTCATTCAGGCATTGAATGTGTATTTTTGACTTTGTAGCTGCTGAGGCTCATCTCCTCCTCGCAGCTCCTGTTCCTAGGCATAGCTTTCCCCTCTCCCCCGGCCTGCTTTCAGACTCTTGCCTGGTTCTTCCTTTTCCACGTTTTGCTTTTTATTCTCCTGGCACAGTTCCCTCTGCTAGAGGGCCCAGCTGGCTGCTTTCCACCCCTTTTTTTTGTTTAGTCGTCTGCCTGACCCATCTAGGATTAGCCTTGTAAGACCATCTTGTCTGCTGCCCGGCCTGTCTGTAACACACAGGCTGGTGAGCTGCTGGTGTCTTTCCTTAAGCTGCAAGTCTCAGCCCATTTCAGGGTAGGCAGCACAACCGGGGGATCCTATTCCTGGAACCGGGGTGAGGAGTTCAGAAGACGATCCCTCTCCAGTGGCAGGTTGCCTGAGACACTTGTGCCTTTCCTTTAAATCTAGACCCCCGGGAATGCCACAAAAGCTGGATCGGCAGTAGTCTATCTGTAAAGCAGGTAACTCAAGGAAGCGAGCCTGGCCATAGGAAGAGAGAGGCTGAACTCCAGCCAGGGTTACCATTGGCCAAACTGTCTTGGAAGGGAAAATATTTTAATTCTTCCAAGTGGAAATAATGGAGAATTGCCAGTGTAAAAAATATATTTTATTGTATAGGCAAAAAAAATGTACAAGAGGGGGTGGTTGGGGGAGGGGAATATCCAGAGAAGCGGAGACCAGTTTTCACCTCTTCTGATATGAAGCTTGGTTCCCCCCCCCTTCCCCTCAAACCCTTCCACTGGAGCTTCCTACCTGTAAATGTTCTCTCTCTGGGGCTTTTCTTGTTCCGGCCTTTGTTCACAAATTCAGAAGTCTCTCCTCCCCCCCCCCCCCACAACTTGTAGAAGCTGGGGGAGCGGGGGTGTTCTGTGTTCAACAGGTGAAGTTTCCTTCCCGCTATTTCTGCTATTGGCAGCATAGCTGTTGGCGGCACCCAGGGCTCTGCTGGGACTGAAGTGCCCTGCCCTCCCTCTCCAGACTAAGCAGTTCCGTACCCAACGCAGGAGAGCCGGGAACACACGCTTTGGCCTAGTGTTCACTTAGCCCAGAAGAGGCTGTTTTTGTTCTTTGGAAGTAGAAAGGGAGGTGTGTGGGTTGTTCAGCAGTAAGAAAAGCCTTTTTTCTGAGTGCAAGGGGGGGAAATAGATGGCAGTACAGGGGAAGATGAAACTGGCCAGAAAGCATGAAGAGGAGTGCAGGTTACAGTGAACATGTTTAAAGCTACCAGACTGTGTGTGTGTGTGTGTGTGTGTGTGTGTGTGTGTGTGTATTTAAAAGTTATAGTGACTTTTTCAAAACAGGCAAATGATTTTTGCTATTTTAACCATAGGAAATGGAGGGGAGGCCAGGATGTGTGTTCCTTTTTCCCTCTAAGTCTCCTTCCCCTCAGACTGTGGCAGCCATTCCTGGAGGGGAAATCACTGAAATGTAAAACCCAGCTTTTACATTGGTTAGAAGATACTGAGGAATTCTGTCTAGTTTGAACGCCTCCTCAGGTGCATACACAAAAAGAATTTGCTTTTACTCTTGCCGTAATCTGCTCTGTGTTTGCAGTCACCCCCCCCCCAAAAAAAAAGGTCAAAATGCCCATTGTCCATAAATACTTGTGGGAAGCATGGAGGGTTTTTAAAAAATCACTTTACCTGCCATGCCCTGTGTGTGCAGTATTAGAGTGAATTAATCTGAACATCTGAGTCTGTGCTTTGAAAGCATTTAGAAGAAGAGTTGGTTTTATACCCTGCTCTTCACTACCTGAAGGAGTCTCAGAGCGACTTACAATCATCTCCCCTTCCTCTCCCCACAACAGACACCCTGTGAGGTAGGTGGGGCTGAGAGAGCTCTGAGAGGACTGGGACTGACCCAAGGTCACCCAGCTGGCTTCGTGTGGAGGAGTGGGGAATCGAACCCGGTTCTCCAGATTAGAGTCCGCCGCTCTTAACCACTACGCCACACTGGCTCTACTTCTACCTACAGTCCTGCCTTGCCCTCTCTGCCTTCTGAAATACATCACTGTATAATGCCATTTTTGAGGGAGACATACTTCTGTGTGAACACAGCCAGGATTGGGAATGTGTGGATGAATGGACACTGCAGACGAAATGGTTTAACGGTCATTTCCCCATTCCCAGAGAACGGCAGGCATAATTGATTTCCAGCAGAGACTCCCAACTACAATTGCCAGGATTTGGGGGCAGAGGAAAAGCTATGGCAGTTCTGCTGCTATAGAATGTAATTTCTTGTGTTAATATACACCTGAATTGCCTGAGGGTTCACAATGTAAGGATTTTACCACAGTGCCTCCAATCAAATGACTGCGGATTTCAGGTCCTCCACCCCTGCTGCTTGTCTGCAATAGTCCATGCTTATACACAGCTTTTAAATGGATTTCATGGAATCACAGTTGGAAGGGGCTATATAGAAGAAGAGATTGGATTTATACCCCACCCTTCACTACCCAAACGTGTCTCAGAGCAGCTTACAAACTCCTTTCCCTTCCCCTCTCCACAAAAGGCACCCTGTGAGGCAGGTGGGGCTGAGAGAGCTCTTAACAGGAACTGCTCTTTTTCAAGAACAGCTCTTATCAGAACCACGGCTTGCCGAAGGTCATCCAGCCAGGTGCAAGTGGAGGAGTGGGGAATTAAACCCGGTTCTCCCAGATTAGAGTCCGCGCACTTAACCACTACACCAAACTGGCTCTCAGGCCATCTAGTCCACCTCCCGCCTTGCTCAATGCAGGCTCAGCCTAGAGCATCCCTGACAAGTGTTTGTCCAGATGCTGCTGAAAGACTGCCGTTTAACACGTCTGCTCCCATTGCTGGCCTATGTCACATTTCCAGTGTGGGTTGTTGGTTCTTTGCTCGACGTATGAGGTGAAGTCGCCAACTTCTGATTTCAAAATATTGGTAAGCGCTGTGGGGATGAAGTTACAGGAATGGAGCCTGGCAGATTTCAGTAGACAAGCTGAAAAAGGATTCTGTTGGCTCTTGTGACTTGGTTGGGTTTGCCAACAGGCCCTGGGTGTCCCTTCAAGAATGGCTTAATGGGATGTTATTTACTTCCAGGCCATGAAAGCTTTAACTGCCCTGCCCCCATTGACACACATTGAGCCTCTATTAAGGGACAGGACATTCATCTCCAGGGTTTTTTTTGGTAACCTTTAGCCTTGATAGGGTAGGGTGAGCTCACTTGTGTTTCAGCAAAGGATTGGCATGTGAGTGCAAGAGCATTTGCCAAGCTCTGCAGCCTGAGGCCTTTAAACTGGAAGTTGCCAGTAATTCAGCCTGGCACCTTCACATGTACTCTGTCACGAGGCGGTGGCATTCTACCATTGCCTACCCTTTCGTTTGGGGTCAACAGACTAAGGGGAGGGGGTGACTATACAGGTCACTCTGCACTGGCTTGTGAGAGAATGACATGGGGGCTAGCCTCAAGAACCTAGCTCCTCAGTGGAGGTGAACAAGTCATACAATTTGTGCCTGCACGCCAGGTGAAAGCAGGGGTCGTTTCGTAGAAAAAGAGCTAGGGGAACTCATTAGCAGAACTCATTAGCATATGCCACACCCCCTGACATCAGGGGCCCGTGGTGGACCTGCAAGGCCGGCGGGAGTGCGAGGAAGCCCCACCAAGGCCCTCCCTGGCCCCAGGCAGGCAGGGGTGGGGAGAGGCGGGGAGGAAGCAACTTACCCTTCCTCTTCTCCTGCCTCCTCCTGGCTGAATGAGGGCTAGAAGCAGGGTGGCCAGAAGCAGGGGGTGGGGCTTCATCGTGTGCCCTGCCCCCGCACCTCACCGGGGGGACTGCGATTCCCCCCCCCCCCGAATCGACCTCTGGGTGAAACTTATGCTGTTTTACCTGAAAGCATTTTGGCTTTACTAAAAAAGTAAATCTGACAAGCAGTCTGAACTTCTGGCTTTTTGCGCACACAAAATCTGGCAAGTGTCTCCCCCCCCCCCTTCAGTTGGCAACACCACCCAGCATTATTCTTTTCCAAATCCTGTTGCCAATAGATTAGTATGCATCACTCTAGTTTCTCCCGCCTTCAAGTGTCTGGCAATAGCCATGTTGCCTCACTGCTACTATCTTTTGCCATTTCCCCTCCAATTGGTTGGGAGAGGCCTATGCTTTAATAGTGCCACAGAAATCCAAAAAAGAAACTGGGCAAACCCCACTTGTTGAGTTTCTGCCCACCAACCACTTAACAGGCAGTCTTCTGGGAGGGGGGAAGGCAGCTCCTAAGGCCCACCTTAGTTGTAAAGTTTTGTATAATCACACACCAATACGAGATTTGCCAAATAATCTTCAACTCCCCTCTCCCAATGCAGGCACTCCCAACTTACCCACATCAGCTGTACTATAGTGAGATAGAAGACCCTGATACCCGATGCTGTTGTTGGCCAACATTTCGTACTACTACTGGATTTAGGGTTGTATCCTTGGTGGCTGCTGTTGGCCAGTTTTAACAGAATTTGAAACTCCCAGGCTTAGTTCCTTAGGGTTTTTAAAAACAGTCGTCGTCGTAAGCTTTATCACATTGTGCCCCTCTAGCTTGATAACAGTCTTCTAAGCCTTTGCCCTTGTGGAAAACACCACAGAGCGAGTTAAGAGTCGCCTCCATGCCCAGTAGCAGTTGTGCTGCAGGCACTAACCTCAATAAGCCCAGTATTTCAAACATCAGCCGATCACCAGTTGCGTGACAAGAATTTAAGCAGCCACAAATTCTCCTGTCATAGAAATAACGTAATGATGGGTGAGATAATCCCTCTGTGGCTGAGTTTGTGCCTGTCGTATAGCTATTAAAAGTCATGGAATGCTGCCCAAATTAAAAGGCAAGCTGGAGTCGCCTGAAGAAAATATCTCATGGGGGGTGAACAGGAGTCAGTGTTTGAAGCAGTGTCTCTCAGAAGGATATAATGCGTGGCTTCTTCTCTTCTAAGGCCTTATTCGGTTAGATCAAACAGCTGCACACTGAATTTGTGTGAAGAAAACGGTCAAATGTGGGTTTTGGTACTAAACAGTTAATTCCTACTACTTATGTTTAAAACTTAAGGAATAACCCCTTAAGGCAGAAATACAAGCTGGGAATTAAAAATAATAAAGCAAACCAGTCAAAACGTGGCCAGCTGACAGCCCTTATGCACATCCTGAAACAAAATGGCTGCCATCAGCCCTTTGAGGACTAGCCTTGCAAATGGTGTTGTGGTGGTTCTATGAGAAGCAGTTTCTCACAGAATTCAGCAACTAGTGCTGCTTCTCGAAAACAAACAGGTACAAACTCCCTTATGTTAAGACAGCGACGTTTCTAGCTTTTCCCGCATCACGCACTGCCTTTGTGAACTGAGCGTTGCAGAGCTTTGTGTGTCAGAAAGGTGCAAAGTGTGGTTAGGGTTCTGTCATTATACTCCAGCAGTTAGAATGGTGGCTTTCTCCCCGTTCAATTCTTAAATCCTATTTCAAAACGAATCCCAGGGTGAAACTTGTCTTCAATTTTATAGAAGAAAAAAAATGATAATAAAAGCAAAGGAAATTTAAAGCAAAAAAAAAAAAAAAAGCCCAGAACAAATCAAATGCTAGTCACGCAATAAACCCCCCTCCCTCCTCCAATTTCTGTCATGGGGAACAGGGCAGGTTTTGGGGGGCTTTGCAGCACAAGCCCCCCCAGGGCACACAGAGGTAGCAGGTTCAAAAGGTCTCTGTCCCAAGTCTCTATTGGTTTTCTTGCGCCATGAGGTAATAAAGCTATTGGACTGACTAGCATGGAGCCCTCCGGCGATCAAAGGGGAGAGCAAGTGAGAAAGTCTGTGTGGGCTTGCGTTGCTCCTAGTTCGGTCTCTTACGCCACCCAAGTCCTTGTGCACGACACGTTTGAATCGGTTCAGCTTTGAGGCCTTTTCTCCAAGTCTCTTATTTTCTTCCACAATCCATGGCCTTATTCACATTCCTTCTTTTCATCTCCTTTTGGTATCTTCTCAATCCCACCAAAGACTTTTTTTCTCCAGGTCTAACGTCCCCATCCTTTCGTGGCTAAGATGCCATCTCGATATGTCACCCGTGCATCTATTCAATCTTTCCTACACTATATTCCTTACCATTGTCCTTCAAATCCCCCTTCTCTGGTGCGTAACATCTTTTTTGTAAGTTTTTTAACCCTCTTGTTCAGCATTCTTGATATCAGGTTCATTTTTTTTTGTCTTCCTCAGTTAATGCTTCCATGAGTCTGAATTGGCTTATCTCCCTGCCCCCCCTTCTCATCCTGGCTCCTCTACCAAACTATTCCTCACTCCTCCTATTTTCAGTACCTATCCTTGTAGAATCCTCCGTTTTGTCCCCTGCCACCTATTCCATTAGGATTTCAATCCATCCTGTCTTTCTCTTCCCTCTTTTGGATTTTCTGCCTGCGTCCTCCTCAGTTCTGCCTTTTTCATTTAGGTCATTCACTCTTCACACAAACTATTTACACACTCATCCTATTTCTCAGGCCCCGGGGGGAAAGTATCCTGCCTAATTCTGGAATTGCTCTCTGACCTAAGTATGATGGCTGGGAACAAGCTGCATTTGCTTCCCTGGAACCAGTCACATTCATTTTGCATTGGGATGGGGTGGAGGGGAGCGCTGAATGGAAAATGGAAACACAAACTGTACTAAGGCTTTAGAGCTTTTCTGCACGATCAGCTTCTTCTTCTTTTTTGCACAATAAATTGCACATCTGCCACTAATTTTGTGCCCCGTCAACATGTCTTCCCTCATTTGATCAGAAGGATGTCACATTGTCAAGTGCAATATTTGATCCTTTGGAAAATGTAGATTTCTTGTGAGATATCACAGTGGTATCCAAAACTCCCTTTGGGGAAAGAACCCTTTTTATATCAACTCATCTGCTAAGAAACCCACTGCTTGTCTTGGAACCTCCACACACGGCACCAACTTCTAGGGACTGTTCTAAGGCAGGGGGCACCATCGTAACTGCAGGCACCTTTTCTGGTGCCTGTTAGTCATTTTTAGAAAGTGGGTAGGGCCAGGTGGGGCTTTTGCCTAGCAGGGCATCTTACTGGCCACTGGAGCTTTGATTGGCAGGGCAGACTGAAAAAACAGCAACATTGCTTTGGCAGCTACTGCCACAACACCAGGATCATTACTGCATATAGATAAGCGAGGTGTTTTCAAGAACAGTATTTCTGCCTGAAAGGTTGAAGAGTTACTACAAGAGTTACGTATAACCTAACCGTCTGACGTAGAGTTACTACAAGAGTTACGTATAACCTCACTGTCTGACGTTCTGTGGCTGGCTCTCCCTCCTGCGGCAGCCATTTTGTGGTTGTCCCTATTGCCGTGTCAGAATTCCAACAGCGCCCACGGGGTCTAAAAGGTTAGAGACCCCTGTTCTAAGCCCCCATGTGTGTGCCCTTAAAGACACACCCAAAAGTCTAGGCTTCATTTTGCAAGGGACATAAGATAGCAGTGAGCAAACTGAAACCCATTCAGTTCACATGCAGTACTTTGCCAAGGCCCTTGTATTCCTCTGTGTGAGTGGAGGGCCTAAACCACATGATACATTGTCCCCAGGTCCTGTCAAGTACCGGTACGATGAGAGTTTTCGCGTTAAAGATTTCCAGGTGCACAGAAGCCCAATTCAGTTCGGAACCATTGCACATGAGGATTAAGCTTCCCCTCAGACCATTTTCCTGGTAGCCTCAGGGAGCTGCCTTTATCCCACTGGGGACACTTATGCGTACTGCTGGGCAAGACCCGAGAACAGTGTATGGTGTGAGCCCCCACATGTATGCCCTTAAAGACACACCCAAAAGTCTGTATAGGCTTCATTTTGCACGGAACATAAGCTAGCAGTGAGCAAACTCTTTTAGGAACGCTTGCCCCTTGTTACTGATCTCCTTACTGAGAACGCGGTTAAGGAATCCTGGGATAGTTTAAAGTCCACAGACATGGCTCATCCCGTGCTAGTATTGATTGTCGCTGGCACCTACCGGGTAAAACGGCATCACAAATGTTTTCCAGTGGCTCGATCCTTGTGCGCTCATGTGCCCCCGGAGGAAACGGGGAAACAGACAATGTGTGGCTGTCCCCAAATACGGATCTGCCTTGCACCAGATCAGACCGTTCATCTATCTAGTACTGCTAATCCGCTGCAGTGGTCCTCCAGGGCCCCAGCCAGGCATTCCTCGCCCTGATGAGATCCTTTCTCATACTGTGGACCAGTGTTCCCTCTAAGCTGAGTTAGTGTGAGCTAGCTCACAGTTTTTTTAGCCTCCGGCTCACACATTTTTTGTCTTAGCTCAGGAAGGATGGCTCCAGAGCAAACTAATTTACGCCGCAGCCAAATCACTCCCTCACAACTTTAATGCCCGGAGCTCACAAAGTAGAATTTTTGCTCACAAGACTCCACAGCTTAGAAGGGAGCATTGCTATGGACGCTTCCTACCTGTCACATCTCGATGAATTGCTGCGCTAGTGTCACTGGATGGGAGGCCTGTACAAGGGTGACAGGCAGTCTGTGTATCTGGCTGATCGAGTTTTGTTTGATCAGGCAGAAAAGCCCCTGTACTGGTGGTGCGGTGGGAAAAATGATAAGAAGTTAGTAATGCAAAACGTATTTTAAAAAGGAGACGCAAGGATGAACATTCAGAAGGAAACTAGGCAGGGATGTAAGGAAGGGTTGCAGCGGGATAAACTAAAAGAAGGGGAGGAGGAGAGGCAGCAAAGGGCAGAGGTCAACGAGAGCGAAAGGATGTGTAATGAGGTCCCAACCACAATGGGAAACAGAAGTTGCAGTTAAGGTACAGCATGTGAGATCTGTGTTGAGCTTGGCTCCCGTCATTGCTTGGCTGCTCCCCTTGACTTATTTTTAAGCTATCAGTCCTGCACAGGAGGAGATAGGAAACTTGTGCTTATAAACCTTCCCTCCTCACCCAGGACCTTGATCTGCCATCTTCAAAGCCACTGTCCTCCGGTAAGGTACCGCCTGTTCCTTTGCCTAATGGAGGAGCATTATCTGGGCCCAGGTGCAGCTTCCTTTTTTGAAGACCGTGCTGCCCAGAAACAATCCCTTTCTAATTCAAGCGGTGTCTGTCTTAAGATGCCCTGGAGAAACTATTCCTGTAGAAATGTGTATTGGATTCTTCTTCTCCCTAGGTAAAAACGTCAGCTCGGTTCCACAAAATCTTCTGTTGAGACTGAGGAAAAGCAGTGGGATAATGTCTTTTGTTTACCACCACTGGGGGAGATCCTGTCTTGGGTCTGGACAATGTCCTTGGCTCCGATTCTTTTTCCTTTTTTTTTTTTTAAACCCACCCCTGCCATTAATTCATCTTGGCGTGAAGAGACCATGGTTTGCCATCTTGGAATCATCCCGTCATAGAGAGATGCCAACGGAAGCCTTATTAGGCGGAACGACTTGGATCGTCCTACTACTGAGTGACCCCCACTGCGTTGCCATCTCGAATCGCATCCCGTAACACACAGCCGGAATGCCACCTGGGGTCCTCTCAGGCAGGCGTCCTCAAATGAGACTGATCCACCGGACAATGATAATCAGGTTGCAGGTACCACACTGGCTCACACACACACACCCCAACCCCTCCAAGTAGATACGCCATTTGGGATTTCCCTTCCCGCCCACCCACCACCCACCGATGTTGACTATATTGGGTCCCCTTCACCATTTCTAGAGTTGCATCTTGGTTACTAAACAGGCGCCCTTCGGGACGATGGGACAATGAACCATCCTGGGTCACACAACGGTCGCCTCCTGAGTGACCTTCCCCAAAGGAGTGCTGCCACTGTAAATCCCAAGAGGCGCCATACTCGATATCCCTCCCCGTCCCCTTTTCCTGGCACTGTGATGCAGTTATTCTCTCGGCAGGGGAGAGAGTTCTTTCCCTGCCCAGTCTTGTTTGGCTTTGGCCTCTTCCCTGGAGCCGGAAGGGAGAAGACAGGCGGGGAGGGAGGCGCACGGCAGGAGAGGATCAGTTGGAGGTGTCGGAGTGGACGCTGCCAGGACCTTCTGTTGGGGAGGTCACGGAGGATGGGGTGGCCGCTTCTTGCCAGCCACCGTTGGCCTGGTCAGGAGAAAGAGAAACAATTGGGGAAAATTCATCCCACAACAAACATGGGAATAGTTAGCCACCGCCGCCACCTCCTCCTCAGCCCATGCTTGCAACTAACAACCAACTGGACGCATTTTCCTTTCCCAGGGGCCCTAGAGCAGGCACAACTCAAGCAAACCAAGGGTCTTCGGTCACATCCCTCACCCCAATGTGGTTGTAACCTACCAAAGAATTAGGGCTGCTTCGACATGGAGGTTTTGCTCCAGGTGGGCAACCAAAGTGGAGTGTGGTGGGGTTTTTTTTGAGAATCCACGCAGTGTCACCCCCTAATTGTCCTTGAATGCATGAAGCTGCCTTATACTGAATTGGACCATCGGTCCATCAAGGTCAGTCCTGTCTACTCAGACTGGTGGTGGCTCTCCAGAGTCTCAGGTAGAGATCTTTCACATCACCCAGTGCCTGGCCCTTTTAACTGGAGATGCCAGGAATTGAACCTGGGATCTTTTGCATGCCAAGCAGATGCTCCACCGCCACAGCTCTTCCTCATATCAAACCAGGGGGAAACCCAGAAAGACTGCTATTAAAATGTCTTTGCATGCTGTATGGCGACAGGAAGTTATGCATTTTTTTAACCCTGCAAAATAAAAGTTTATTAGGAAGCTATGAATTTTTGAAGGTCCCGCCCATGTAGACCAATTTTCTGTGCTGCAACTGCCATTCTCTCATACACTACCAAGAGTACTGGGTGGGGGGAGCTTTTTTGGAAAAAAAATCAGCGATTATTAAATTGCTAAAGCATAATAATATAATGTAATCTATGGTGACAAGTTACCAGTGCCTCTGAATTCCCAGCTTTCATGTTCAAAGAATTCTCTTTCCATTGTAGCGATATAAAAGGAAAGGTGCCGGGATGATGACAGCTACATGGAGAAAGGCCACTGCAGTGAAGCAGCCTAGGGCTCCACTGCTCTCATTCTCATAGATCGGTTAGCCTTCTCTTATCTAAGGATTCTTAATTCTGACATCCAAGACTCTGATACCTGTTTTGACGCTGTCATAGAGACAAACTCCAGATCATGTAAAAAAAGCTGTTCCTGGTCTGCTGCTACTTTAGACTCAAGGCATGGAGAATCATGCAACTGTGCTTCCCCAAGGCTGTTTTTTTTTTTTAAATTCCCTGCACATAGCTAGATGTCATAAGGAAAGGTTCAAGTTTGGACCATTACACATCCTGATTTCATACGACGGCATAAAAACACAGAATGTAGGATTCAGGCTTCCTGCCAGCCTTTGCTTCCTTTGTTCATTTATTTTTAAAGGGAAGGTTGCCAGACTTCACATAAGTGAAACCGTGCCTGAAAACGCTTGCAAAATCCTCCTGAAATCTCAGCAGCTATAATGGTGTGGCTGAGTGAGATTTTAAGAGGCAGCGGTCAGGGTTTTCGTTCTCTTACCCCTGCCATGACTATCCCCACCAGAATAAATTATGCAAAATAAAATCACTTCTGGGCATTTGCTCAGCTCCCAGAATCCAGTTCTCCTTGGTGCAGAATTTGGATTACCATGGCATAAAATCTAAGGGCTTTTTTTCTCTTTTAGCATGGAGTACACAGAGAATTCGGAAACATCTTCAGACAGCGCTGGCTCTTTGGCTTTGAAATGGAGATGAGCACCGCAACCCTAGAGTCGGACTCGACTGGCTTTCGAGCAAGGGAACCTTTACCTTTACCTTTACTTTACACAGAGAACTGGTTCTAGCTGAGCCCTTTCCCTCTAAGTGTTTTTTTTGTGTGTGTGTGATCTTAAAAAGAAAGCGATGTTCAGATATGCAATCTCACACTCTCATCTGCAGTGGTACAGTCCGAGGACCCATTTCACTACACGGGCCTGCTGTTTGTGTACATTGGACCTAAGTACCGACCATGCAAGGGGTCTTGTAAGGCCCAAACAGTATGCTGGAGACAGAGAAATGCCCAGCACCATGGGAGGAGGAAGTGCTTCTGCCTCCTCCCCAGCCATTTGCCGGGTTCTTTTGAGACACTGGCCAGGGGATGGGGAAGATGCTCTGGATGCTCCTGCCTCCCCCCCCCCAGCCATTTTCTCGTGTGAAAACCAGGCTGGGCTAGGGGTTGCCGGGTTCTTTTGAGACACTGGCTGGGGGATGGGGAGGATGCTCTGGACGCTGGAAGTGTCACCCACAACATGCTGACGTCATGCAGACTTCTGGGTGACACAGGCACGTCGGGTGCGATGCTCTGGTTTTTGAGCAGAACTCTATGGGAAAATCAGCCTCAAACTATAGAGCTTTGCCCAAGAGGGCCGCCCCCCCCCCCAATGTCGCCAGCGTGCCAATGTCACTTCCAGGTTGACGCAGGCACATTGTGTGCAATGTGGCTGTAGGGGGGGGGATTCCCTCCCGCCAGCTAGCTGGCTGGCAGTGGCCGAGAGCCCGCAAAATCAGGACATCCCCTGCCCCCACCAGGCAAATGGCAAGCCTAGGCTGGGCAGAGGAGTTATTTCCCCAATTTTGTTGTTCCACGTGGATCATTTGTGCCCATGGGACAGCAAAATCAGTGAAATAACTCGCCCCCCCAGCATGGTTTTTGTGTGTGAGAAAACTCCCCCCTGGGGTATCGTTCCCAGCCCAGTAGGAGTCTCCTTTCTTTTTTTTTTAGAAGCTGTTCCCATAGCTGCTATGTGGCTGTGGGTAACCCAGGCAAACAACTGGGTATTGCGTATTTTGAGTCAAATTCATTAGACCCCCTCAGCCTCTAAACACCCACGTACTATCTCTAGCATCAGGAATCCTAAATGTCCCTGACTTGGCACACCATGGACGGATCTTGGCACTAAGTTTCCCATCCTTCAGACTTCAGCCTTCCTTCCAAACAGCCCCGGCTCTTAATCCTTCACAGCAAGGCAGTCAACGTCAACCTGTACCTCAGAGTTTTAAGTTCAGAATACAGGTGGGGGCTCACACAATGCGATGCTCTTCAACCAAAAGAAAAACCCGCCCTAAATCCAAAAAGAAAATGGAATCAAGGGAGAAGCCTAGGCTCCAACCCTTGACGTCTAGTTTTCTATGTGAAGGGAATCTTTTTGTTTGTTTGTTTTAGTACAAAGGGACACGCCATCAGAGGGGAGCCACCCCCTCAAGTCTGAGGGCCACACAAAAGTCTGCCATCACAATCAGAACAAGCCTTCAGTCACCTGACACATACCCTCATTTCTCGTGGGCTGTACATCTGGCTAGCGGCCATACTGTCTCCGTAGCCGCCCGGCCCCATGGAGTGACGCATCGATTCCACCTGGTAGTTCAAGGAAAACACATGAAGGACAGCTGGCTGGGGAGCACACAGCAAGAATTTGATCAAAAAGGCACCTTTATGTGGAGCGGGGGTTACCCTGAAGACTGAAAGGCATCAGGGAGGGACTGGTGATGTGGAGTTCTTTAGGAATATAAGCTAAGAATTTATAGTAGGTCAACATTCTGTGCTTCGTGGGCCTTGCTCAGAAGAAACTTGCTTGTTCTTCTGGTTAATTTACAAAATCATATGTTTCTGCATAACTGGGAAGTCCCCTCAGTATGTAGAAACCAGGGCATCTGAAGGACCATCTTCTCACATATGTTCCTGCCCAGGAATGAGGACCACAGGGAGAGGCCCTCTTGACCGTCCCATCAATCAAAGAAGCTTGTTTGGTGGGTACACGAGAGAGGGCCTTTTCAGTGGCAGCTCCACAATTAAGGAACAACCTCCTGAGGGAGGTGTGCCTGGCCCCCTCACTTTTTATTTTAGGAGGCAGCTGAAGATGGTTTTATTCAGGACGGCATTTCATTAAAGCAGCCCTAAACTGTGGTTTTAACTTTTGCCATTATGTATTTTTATTAACAGGGCTATTTTTGGGCAGGAACGCACAGGAATGGAGTTCCAGCTGGCTCCTGAGTTGGCCACGCCCAGCAGGAGCTCATTACATAACAGGCCACACCCAACAGCAGGAACTCATTGGAATTGGCTACATTAGGGGTGTGTGGCCTAACATGCAAAGGAGTTCCTGCTACAAAAAAGCCCATGGGTTTTGACAACAAACAAGGTAAACAGAATAAGAAGCAAAAGGTGGGTGTGGCTGGATGACCACACTTCTGGTAACATGGGTTTATGGCCTAATATGCTAATGAGCTGTACTATCAGGGGTGTGGCCTAATATGCTAATGAGTTTCTGCTGTTGGGTGTGGCTTGTTATGCTAATGAGTTCCTGCTGGGCTTTTTCTACAAAAAAAGCCCTGTTTTTATGTACTTTATTTTATATATTTTATTTATATTGTAAGCTGCCTTGCGCTCCCTAAGGAAGTGAGGCAGCTAATAAACATTTTAAAGAAACATATAAACAAAAACCACTACGTTGTCTGTGGCCCGATCTTGTGACTGGCAATTTTGTGAGCCTGTTAACTGTTACATGTAGGTATAATTGTGCACATTTCCAGCATGTCAGCATGCTTTTTTTGGGTATGTTGTTAGTTAAAGTAGGACAGTTGAGTTAATTCAGTAAACCAAACAAAAATAGTATTAGTTGTTGGAAGGACCCACATGTTGCCCCAAGCAAATTACAATTTCCCACCAGCAATTAAAATCAGTCCCTATAAACTCATTGATTTCTTGGAGGGATCTAATTATAATTAGTGATGGCAAATTGTAAATGGTGGGCAGCAAGTCAGGGCTAGGGAAGGGCAAGAACCGGCTCACGAATGAATGTTTGTCCTGAATTTTGATGCAGTTCGTGGTGGTTTGTCAAGAGCAAAAAACAGGTTTAAATGGCGCTGAGCCATTTAAACCTCGGCTTTCTGCTCTTCACAAAAAACAGCTGTTTGCCTTAAATGGCTGGAAGGCATTTCACCCCCTGCTTTTTGCTCCCAGCAAAAAGTGGCAGGGAGCAGAAAGCGGGGTGGTGGTGGTGTTTAAATGGGTCACAGCGATTTCATCCCCAGTTTTCTGCTCGTCATGGCTTTTGGCAGCAAGCAGAAAGCAGGGGGTGAAATGCCTCTCAGCCAGTTCACACCCTGCTTTCTGTGGGGAGCAGAAAGCAGGGGTTTAAACTTTAAATGGCTCACAAACTGATATGAACCAGTTTGGTTCTCAAACCAGCCTATCGATTCGTGGTTCAATTTGTGGTTCAGCCACGAACTGAACCACAGAAATACAATTTGTGCCCATCCTTGTTCAGGGCACATGTATTTCCTTCTAACAGTGAATGCTGATTAATCCATTTTTGTTGACTCATCTAGTGCTTGAACAAATAAAAACATGCAGCCCCGCATGGTTTTAAAAGTGCACTTTCAAGCTCACGGGGGAAGGAAATAACAAAGAGGATGACCTTTCAGTGCACCAGATTCCCTGCCCCAGCCCTACCACTGCAGAAATAGTCCATTGCCAAACCAAATGCCACATCCTTTATACGGAATCCATGAGCCATTACTGCCACAAGAATATGTACTACACACATGAAGCTGCCTTGCAGGGAGTCAGACAATGATTGAGGTTATCATCGTCTACTCCAAGGCTCCCCAAGATAGTGCCAGTGGGTGCCATGACACCTGCTGAAACCTTTCCTGGTACCCACCATGAGTTTTCAGAAAGTGGGCAGGGCCAGGTGGGGCTTTTGCCCTGCAAAGCTTCTGATTGGCTACTGGAGATTTGAGCAGCTGTGCAGATTAAAAAAAAATGTTTTGGTAGCAGCTTCTACCACAGGACAAGGCTCTCCACTGTGTAACTGAAGGTAAGCCGTGCCAGCCATTTTGGGGTTAGCTCCCACCTCCCTTGGCAAGCTGCACCCACCAAGCTGTGTCAGAATTCCCGATTTGCCTGCAGGCTCAAAAATGTTGGGGACCCCTGGTCTAATCTGACTGGCAGCAGCTCTCTAGGGTCTCAGGTAGAGATCTTTCACATCGCCTAGTGCCCTGTTCCTTTTAACCAGCGATCCCGGAGATTGACCCTGGGATTTCCTGCACGCAAACTAGATGCTCGGCCGGTGAGCCACAGGCCCTCCTCAAAGGCATCCCCTTTGACTCAATCCAGCAATAACCGGTCCAGCTCAGCAGGGAGGGGAGAACTGACCTGTGATGTGGGATAGGAGTCTCCATTCAGGCCTTGGAGGCCCATGAACATATCGCCAGAGTTGGAGAGATTGAAGGATCCACCGGAGCCTATCAGAAAACAGAGGAAGGGGTTGGGGGGAGGAAAAGAACAACAGGGTGAATGGGATGGGAAAAATACAGCTTGCTCTAGGCAAAGCAAAAGGTTAATTCCATTGCAAAGCTGACTAGGTGGGGAGTGAGGCAAGAGGATTTGTCTGCGGGAGGAACCCCTGGCTACTTCAAGCCCAACAAGGGGGCGCCATGTGCTAGTGTTAAGGGTGTTACTGCACCCAGTAGGGGGTGCTAACTGCGGGGGTCAGGGAGGGGGGTGCTGGTGGTGGAGGGATCTCCCCAGGAACTCCATCGCCTGGCGGAGAGGGAGCTCCGTGTTACTCCAATCCCAGCAGGGACTCCTGCACCAACATGGGGTGTAGCGGAGTTTTTTTGGGGGGAGGGGAGTTACCCGCGGAGGAGGGGGTGTTGGGGGAGTCGCCCCCACTCTGCGCGGCGCTGACAGCCGTTTTCACGGCGTAAATATTGGCTTCCTCTTGGAACTTGCCGATGTTCTTCTTATAGCGGATGCGCTTGTTCCCGAACCAGTTTGAGACCTGGAAGGAGGGAGGCAGGGGAGGGAAGGGGAAAGACGGGAGGGAGGAAGTATCACAACGGAGGAACGGGAAGTGGGTGGGAATGAGGGAGAAGAGGGGACGGGAAGGACGGGGAGGGGAGGGGAGGAGGGGATTATGTATCGACAGGTCAGCCATACAAATTATCCTTTCCCCCACACCGCCAACCCTCTGCCCCGAGTCACTCCTAACACCCCAGATTAATCCCCACCCGGCCGGTTTAGCACAGCCTCAGGACTGCCCCCCCACGAACCCCCCAGTACCTGTGAGACTGTGATGCCGCATTTCTTGGCAAGCTCCTCCTTGGCCTCCTCGCTGGGATAGGGGTTGCTCAGGTGTGAATAGAAGTACTCATTCAACACCTCTGTGGCCTGTTTGCTGAAATTGCGGCGTTTCCGCCTGCCAATAGCAAGGGCAGAAGAGGAAAGGAAGAGCGTGGGAGCAGCTGAGAAAGCACAGGGAAGTTGAACAGAGACAAAGAGAAGATCCGAGTAAGGGGGGCAGAAAGATGGGGATGGGAGGGGAGAAAAGGTCATGGAGGCAAGCAGAGGCAATACAAGCTGGACATTATGTTCAGAAAATACATGTTATACAGCATACAAATTGACAGCATAGCATGTTGGGAAGGGCTGTGGTTCAGTGGCAGAGCATGTGCCAGACATGCAGAAGGTCCCAGGTTCAATCCCTGCCATCTCTAGTTAATAAGATCTGGCAGAATCTGGCAGGGAGGGAGTAGGTGATGGAAAGACCTCTAGCAGAGACAGCAGGGTCTCCCAGGTCCTAGTCCAATACTTTAACCACTGTGTTCAAACAACTTAAGTTTCTAGCCCTTATAACCACAAAGCATGTGGGCAAGTCTCCTGAAATCTCAGAAGCCAGAAAGACTTCCAGTGACTGGAGACAGGGTTTCAGTGTCCTTTCCAGTTCCTTGCCCATCCCCCAGCAACCACGGAATAAGCCACGCAAAACAGCAACCGTTGCAGAATGCATTATGCAAAATAAAGCGATATTACACAATTTGCATAATTTATAAGAGTTGCAGGATTTATGTTTTCTTGATAACCATTTTGTGTGTGCGTGTACAGTACTTTCAAGTCACAGCCAACTTATGGTGACCCCCCCCCCAGGGTTTTCAAGGCAAGAGACTAACACCTATGAACGCACATGAAGCTGCCTTCTACCCTTAGTCCATTCAAGGTCAGTACTGTCTACTCAGACTGGCAGTTGCTCTCCTGGGTTTCAGGCAGAGGTCTTTCTCACCACCTATTCCCTAGTCCTTTTAACTGGAGATGCCGGGGATTGAACCCGGGACCTTCTGCACGCCGAGCAGGTGGCTCTACCACTGAGCCACACCCCCTCCCCTAACAGAGGCGGTTTGCCATTGCCTTCCTCTGCACAGTGTGACTCTGGACTTCCTGGGTGGTCTCCCATCCAAATACTAACCGGGGCCGACCCTGCTTAGCTTCCGAGATGTGACATGATCGAGCTAGCCTGGGCCAATCCCGGTCAGGGTGATAATGGTTTGAAGTCTCTTTTAGTGCCACACGCTTGATATAACAGCTTGATACGCGACCAGCAGCACCTTAGAGACCGACAAGATTTTGGGGGTATAAGCTTTCCCTCCGGGAGCATTGACGCTTGAGAGCTCATACCTTGAAACTCTTGTTGGTTGCTAAGGTGCCACTGGACTCGAACCTTGCTGTTCGACCGCGGACCAACACGGCTACCCTCTGAAACACTCTTGCTCTAACAGTCTTCCCTGGCGTGCTAGCTTTCTAGAGGCAGAGAAGGGCCCCTGCCCTTTTAAAAGCCGCGCCAACGTTGAGACGCTGCGGCGGGATCTCACGGATCCCCTGGCCCGGCGCAAAAGACGCCCCGCGATTCGACGGCCCGGCTTGCGGCGCGTCATCCGGATGAACCACCTCGGTAGGTGGTTCACTTTTGATGCGCCGCATCGGGGGAAGGGCCGGATCGGAGACGGGAGCGCAACGCCAGCCAGATGTTGGCGTGGGATCGCGCCTGTTTGCTCCGTCTCCGATCTGGCCCACTCCCGGCCTAAAACGCCTCGTGTGAACGGGGCCAAGGAAGGGCTTTTTGATGTAGGACAGCATTCACTTGCATGCTCTCTCACTTAGGAGTACAGTGTACAAACAGTAGGAATGCCTACTTTGAGGAAAATGTCCAGAGTGGGGTGTGTGAGAGGAATGTGTGCAGCTAGGGTTGTCAACAGGCCTGGGGAAAATGCCCTGCCCCTTTAATAGAGCCTTACTGGGATGTTATTTGCCAGGGGGTGCGGTTTCTCCCTCTGCCTTAAAAAGCTCCCCCTGCCCATTTCCACACGTTCCAGGCTCTATTAAAGGGACAGGACATTTATCTCCTGGCTAGTTCGGCCGATGCGACGGTGGCGTGGCTAACCTGGCGTCAAGGAAGCGGGAGCGCAGGATCATGACGGCTTCGCACGTGCTCTGCTTCAGCTGCATCTGGATGGAGCTGAATTTGCGGTGGATGATGCTGACCATGCGCTCGATCTCCTTGGGCGACACGGGGCGCGTGCGGCTCTGCTCCCGAAGGAGGTTCATCACATGTGTTGTGAACTCGTTGCAGGCCTGAAGGGAGGGGAGGGGAGAGGAGGGGGTGAGGCAGAAGACAGTTTAGAGAGAATACAGAATAGGACTGGCACACTCGAGTACGCCAATCAGAAATGCTTATTACCAAGCCCTAACACACAGGGAAGTCACAATAGCACACGCATTATTCCTCCTGTAAATTTATGGCGATCTCGCCCTCTTCCCTCCCTCACATGAAGGATTTTCCCTTTCTTCTTCTTTCTTGCTGAGCGGCCCCTATTTCTATTTACTTCTTATTTGTTTATCTATGGCTACCCCACCCAGTCACTTTAATATGTGAGTGTGTGTGTTGGGAACTCAGCCCAGGGACCTGAGAGAAGAGACAAAATCACCCTCTTATATTCAACTTCTGAAATAGCAGCACACGAGAGGCTTTAGAAAGTTCAAAATAAGCAGAATGTTTTATTTAACTGCTGCAGTCACACACACTAAATAATCCACTTTCAATCCACTTTCTAACTGGATTTTTACTGTGTGAACTGGCAAAAGCCAGTCGGAAAGTGCACTGAAAGTGCACTGAAAGTGGATTATTTAGTGTGTGTGACCGCAGCTTTGGAGGAGAAAAGGACAGCTTGAATCAGGGGTAGGATGTATGAGGTAAACTGATGATAAAACTATGCAGAGGCTGGCAATGGCAAGCCACCACCATTTGTCTCTTGCCTTGAAAACCTCATGAGGGGGTCACCTCTCGCTTCTCGGCCTTTTGGCTAAGATCAGCGTAAACATTCTCTAAATAAAAATGAGGGGGTCACCATAAGGTGGCTGCAACTTGACGGCACTTTCCACTACCAAATGTAATGCAACCGAATCTCATCCGTCTATTGCTTTTTCGTTGTATACCCTACCTCGTTTACTTATTTGCTTGATTTGAACCCCACTTTTTACTAGAGGTGTAAAATTTCCGGAACTTTTGAAACTCGGAAAAAAACTCGGGTTTTTTCCGTTTTTTTTCGGGGGGGGGACACGGAAATTTTCGGAAAAATTGGAAAAAATGCTACATTAGCATTTCTTTTTTCTTTTCCAGATTGAAAGTCAATCTGTTACTTTAGGAACATAAAATATGACTATGGACATTTTTACTTGGCATGAAATTATCACAACTAGCATATTAAAAATATAGTGTATCCAAACAATTATTACAAACAGAATACCCACCCACATGCA